TTTTTCTTTCTGATGATTTCCTTAATTTATTATCTTTGTTAGGAATAATTCAGGTTCGAAATGAATAAAAAGTAGTTTTAAAGGAAAAAAATTCCTTAACACAATAAAAAGCGATGAAAGAACCTAGTACTTCCTGAAGTACGCCACTTTCCATTCTGCAAGCTGTCAGCAACCTCGTCATAGTCTCTATAATCTTGTTCACTAAATGACGTAAAATATCTGTAACATACAATATATAGAAAAAAGAGCAAGCTTAGTAAGAAGATACTGATAAACAAAAATAAACTTAATAAAAGGATAAAATAAATCCCACATACAAAAAACATGTGAATACAATTACAGAAATAAAATATATGAAAAAGATACTCGGAAGTACCCATGGAACTGATATTCAAACGGTCCATACTATCTGAAGTTTTTTTCAATAGATTTTCGGCAGAATCATCTGTATCATTTTTTAGTGGCAAGCCGTAATATCTAGAATCGCATATTTTAGAAACCTAGCTTACTTAATTTAAGATGATAAATATGATCCAGAGAAAACGTTACTTTTTATTCATGGAAAAGGGTGTTATACAAATGCATACATTAAAAATGGAAGAAAAAAGTAAAACTCTTTCCCTTTCTTCACCTTCGTTTAGCTTCACTGAGAATATCTATGATTAATGTTGCAAATCCTCGCACATCACATTTTGCGAGTTTTTGGCGGAGCTGATTACGTGTAGCTGATAATTCAGGATTGGGCTACAATAAATAGAGAAGATTCATTGTTGAGAAGTTTACTGCTCAAAAAAAGAAACTGAATTCAGTTTAACTGGAATATGATAACATAATATGCACCTATGACTAGAACAATTACTTATCAAACCTTCAGAAAATCGCTAAAAAAAATACCGGCAAAAAAACAGCGACACAGTGATCATTTCCTAGAGAGAAGGGCTGGATTCCTTGAGTGACAGCATTCCAAGCCGCTACTGTTTCTCGGCGATCTACCTGTTAATTCAAATTTGTTTGAAACTCATTTGAAAATTAGAAACAAAAAAAGAACAAATGCGAAAATACAACCTCATCATAAACATCTTGAACAAAACGTTCAAAGTAATACGAAGGAAGGGAACGAAGACGTCGTCGAGCTGATTTCATTTGCATATTTTCAGTGTACTGTCCTGCCAACTCTGGAATCAAAAAATACTGTTGCTTAGAGTGATCTGGTCGTCGTCCACATAAAAACATTGTCAAACGGTTGGTAACTTCAAACTGGAGTTGTTCCAGTCTTGCAGCGAGTTCGATCTAAAGAAATAATACCGCTAAACGAGGAATGCTAACCTCGTTCCTCTCCGTGAAGCAGTGGAATGGACTAATTAAAAAGGATCGATAAATTAACCGAACTTGTACATCAAAACGAAACTTCGGAGAAATGAGAAATTAGTGAGTCACTACCAACAAACTTCACATGTTCGACAGATAATCGCAAAAGGTCTTATATAACAGTTGAGTACCGTAATCAATAAGCGAGATCCTATAAAATAAAACTTACATGATTTTCAAGCTTTGCCACTTGAGAAGGAGTCAAGTCTATGGCATTCAATTGTGCAGGATCAGCCCCATAAATCCAAAGTAATTCAACCTGAATATTGCACTGGAAATTAACTGATAAATAAAGCAATAATTGTAAATTAGTGTGAAAAAGAAAAAGAAAAAAAGGAACCTGCAAAGCTTGATTTTCTTTGGCTGAAACATGGAGGGGTGTATTATGCTTTTCTGGATCTGTGTAATTCGGATCAGCACCCAATGCTAATAACCTAAAACATATGATGAATTAGTTTGAAGTGTAAGAAAAACCATAAAAGCACCCCCATCTGCATATAAAAACATAAATATCACGAAAATCCTGTGCTAAAAAATTCCAGAAAGTATGAATGGGATATATTATTTCATTCTTCTTCAACAAATCCTATATATACCTCATAGTTGTTTCCACATGAGAAGTCCTTACACAAGACCAAAGCTGGCGATTTAAATCATCTTGACTAATACAATTATCATCTTTTGCTGGACGCAGAGCGAAAGCCATTTGTGCATATTTTGCTTTGATAAAGTTTTCTTTAATGGGGAGAACAGGGTCACTACAAGAATTGTTTTATCAATAAAAAATGTAAAAAACATGAAATAAAGGTTGACATCGATCTTTTCAGAAAATATTCCTCTGCACTTAGCAAATTTCAACCTTGCCGATTAATTACTTCCAACCCCAATATCAGCTTATCCATTGTAGTAACAAAAACCGTTTTCAAACTTTCAAAGATCTATTCATTAAAACATATGGTTTCACATACTAAGTGGCTCAGAAAAGCAGCAAAATGAATCATTTCTAGGGAATTTGCTAAAAACACGACAGCTAGAATATAGAAATTTCAGAGTGATGACTCACTGGGGTGTCGGTTTTCTTCGAATTTTATTGGTAGACTGAGGATCGAGAAGCGAATGTTCCCAAATATTATTTGAACCATTAGAATATAAAACATACATCAATTCTAGCTGACTACTATTCCAAGCTCCTTTTTTGATCGAACGAACATGGCTGATATGACGACCTGTACAGTCACATTGAAAACATGGAAACGTAACTGTATGCATCATCTGTACCCCTTGCAAAAACTTTCATACTCAGTCACACAAAGTCATTAAATTACTTCAGATAAATCTACATCACATTCACGCAGTAACTACTAAACTTTTCGGCCGATTTCAGTAACTGAAGTCGGTCGAGTTTACACTAATTTGAGTCACACTCTCATATAATGGCAATATCAATCGCATAATTTTGATGTGATCTACAACTATCAATAAATGCAGCTAGCAAAGCAATAAAAAATGCATGTCAGCTTACTGGAACACCTCAGTGACACCTTCATTAATCCGGGATTTTTGCAATAGCCGTAACTATACACCAACCTAACGAATAACCTTTAATAAAAAATAACAAAAAAACTACAAAAAGTCACCAAGATTTCTGTGGATGTAACAGCATTCCGAACAAATAAGAACGCCTCTGTTTAAGGAAGCCCACTGAGGATCTGCGGCAGAACAATCGGCACATTGAAATGGGCGCCCAGCTACTGCAGACATATCATTTATGAGATTTGTGCTAATATATGATAAATAGATATAATACATATCAAACCGGAGACAAGTATATGTTAACTTTAAAAATATCTATCATTAGCACAAAATATTCCTTTTAAGCAGATAATTTTTACGATGACATACCACTACTCGTAACATATTGTGACGACATATCAGCAATCATTTCTTCTGCTCAGATTATCCGTTTTGTTGAAAAATAAACTAACTTTCATCCGATCTCCTTCTTCACTTTTCGCAATATTAACCACATACAGCTAGAACTAAACATACATCCTGACAGCAAATATGAATTAAATGAAATGCTTATCTATTAGAGAAGAAAATACAAGTGCATATTTAAGGGTTTGTGGAAAGTCAACTATATAAAAAAAAAAGGACTATATGATCAGAACCGACAAAAACATGCCAAGCGAGCTAATTTCCTTTCAGTAATGGTGTGCTTTTCTGGACATTAATAGCTTTCCATATTCAAACTGAAACTTCACACCTAATAGAGGTTGACAAGTGTTCTTATTCATCAATATAGGGAGCAAACAAAGGTCACAAGCTAAGTAGTAGAACCAAGCAAAGGAGTTACCAGGAACTTAACAAAACTAGTCCTCCTCGGCAACAAACCTCAACTACCTCCGCGAACCTGCTAAATCGCTGCCAAGCCCAATAACAGTTTCATATGGACAAAACGATAAAATGTGATGGGTGGAGAGAAGTGAGAGAGTGAAGCCGCGTGGCGAAGATTTGTTAAGTGTGTATAACTCGTTCTCCACCCTTTTGTGAATCCGTTGTTAACGAACGTAGCCTGGCGAAGGAGGTTGATATGTTTAGAGGCGTTACAGTTTCCTGGTTCTTTTGTGAGTCTTATAGATGAAATTATAGATTTTGAGAGTACTCAGTAGTGCAATCGCAGCGTCATATGAAATATTTGGTAAACTTATGTGTAGAGAATTCATTAAATCCTTTTTAGCTTCCGAGACTTTTCTGTGGTTGTCAAGTGCACGTCACCGATTTCATATATTCGACAGTGCATTAATGTTCAACGGTAAACTTTAATGAAGTCCGAAATAAGAGACTGGAAATATCTCAGTCCTGTCAAAATAAGGTCCTTATTTTTCATTTCATCTATTCCAATTAATTAAAACAGAGACAAGTGGGAATATAGTGAAGTAAGCTAGCATAAGATAAGATCATTCCATTGCAGTTTCAAATTCTGAATGATTTCTACTATGCAGCTTTAGAAGACGTGTACTGGTTTGTATTGGTCAGGAAATGTTTCAGGAGCAACATTTTATTCAAAAATACCTGTTATGATATCAGTGACAAATGTCTGTTCGCATCTTCTCCTTATGGAGGTCCTGTAGGTATCGTTTTGATATTCGCTAAATTTCTTCACCATCTTGGAACGAAGGCTATTGAATGATTTAACAATTTATTGACAATTTCGTCTTTCACGTTATGTTGTCTTTCACGTTATCTTTCACGTGAGTCAAACGAGTAAATATTCATTACAGAGTTTCAAGTCGTAGGTAATATTAGTCTCTGTTGATCTTGTCCAACTTGTTCATCGTTGCTTTGCGGTTGGAACTAACTTCTGAGGTCGGTTTAGCGACTTTCGACAGAGAATTTCCTTTCCTCAGTCATGTGGGGAAAGCATATGACAGTATCAGTATAACGACGATATCAGTATAACAGTAATCAGTATAATATTGGATGTTATGAAGTTTGATAGCTAGCTAAGTGGAATTACATTCCTTTTTGCATTGAGACATGCTTACAGTAGTGAATTTATGATGTAAACAATTTGCAGAAGATAGTGTTTTCCAGCTATTGCAGTACCAGATACTTCTTTCTGGAGTGTTATGATAAAAACAAGCTCAGGAAAAAAACTTTCAACTTTCAAAGCCCACAATGTTCATTCCATGTATTGGACTCGTTGTCATAGAGTAAGATTCACCGTTCTTGCTTTTTGAAGAAATGTTTAAGTTGCATTTTTGGTTACTTCCAGTTCTTGTCTAAAGTTCCGCTTATTCTATTTTAAATTCAGCTTGTAATTGTCAATATTCGTGGTCGTGTTCTTGTTTACACTCCCCTTGGCAAGCTCAAGTATCAGTTCATAATCGATGAGGTTGTCTGTTTTACTTTTTTTATATGAGTAATTTTCATATATAGGGCAGATTATTTTTTCACTTCAGATGTGATGTCTTTAGGAGATTACCGTTACTGAAACACGTATATATCATGGAGGAGTCGGTAATACAGGTTTAGCAGTTCTTTCCGAAAATAATAGGATCTATGCGGTGAATTCGGTTATGGAAGCGATTCCATGGCGCATTCCTGATGTTGCAAGTATTTTTTTTTTTTAATAAATTAGTCATGGATATCATATTTACTAGAAAAGCCCAATTGATTTATATTTTAATTTTTCTGCTTAACGAGGTGAAAGGCTTCTTAAACAATGGTCGATTAACATTTATCAAAGAAATAAGCTGCTCTAAGAAAAAGGCTTCTTGCATTCATTCTAATATGAATGAGGAGGAAATCAATAATCTGTTGTAGAAGCAAGTCATCCATCTGCCTGGAATGTGCTTACATCTGTACAAGTAACTATTTTATTTGTTATTGGTAATGCCTTCTATGCGGGCATGCAAGGGATTGCACCACATCTTCTGGTTTGCTTTTTTTTTTTTTCCACTGCTTTAGTGGTTTATTTTCCTGCTTTATTTTCCAAAGCATATTTTATGATCTTTCATAAAAATTCGATCTCTTCTCAGGATCTTTCATGGAAATTCGATCATGGAGAATACATAAATATTGTTCCAAATTGGGACAGTTCTCGAATGACTCTACTTCATTCGAGCTTTGTTGTTCAGATTATTGATTCAGATTTTTCACTTCTTTCTACTTTATCTCTTCTTACTGCTGGTGACTCGATCGTAACATCTAGCCTTACTTGGTTAGTTTTAAAACTGCTCGCACCATAAAATGAGACATAAGATAAATGAGGCCAATGTAGTTGAATTGGTTCCAGTGGTTATTAAAATTTTTGGATGACAATCAACCATCCTTTTAGGTGTGGCAGTGAGGTATTAGCTTTGAAACGTGCTCGTCAATCCTTATACTTGATTTCTTTATGCTCGGAGACGCATGTGTAAGTCGTTTAAAAGTTTAAGAATATTCATTGACACAATTTAATTTTTGTTCAATTTCTTTTCTGCTTTCTAGTAATGGAATGAAAAGAGAAGAGGAATTAAAGTCAAATAATCTTCATGTGCCTTCATTTTTCCTTTGTAAATCAAATTAAAAAGAAGCGTTACAATCCATATCCAGATTTCATTATTCCTTATTGAAAATACAGATATGATTTCGAAAATTATGTGGAAATCGATATGGAGCTTGATGGTATTAAAGTTTTCACTACAAATGAAGTTGTTCTTTTATCGCAAGTACCAGGTTTTTTTTTTTTTTTCGCAAGTATATGTTTAAAGCATGGTGTCCAGCTGAATTGTGCAGTTTTTTTTTTTTTATCTTCTGCATCGTGAAAACCACGATTTTCCACGTTACAGTATGAATACCATAGTTAGTGTACACAATTTGCACTTCTAATACAGGAATTGAGTTTTTTTATCATCGACATTCGTTGTTTTAATTTTGCTTGATTTGATTATGCAAAATATGACTGAATGCGACATGTAAATTTATTTCTTGTTTATTTTTCTACATGTTCTGATTACTTTCTGGTTATCGTTATATTATGTAATATTGCTAATGTTCTGTTGATTCGATGCAATTTTGACATTATTTCTATTACAAACTTTGTTGTCTATATTTTATATTAGTAATCAAAATTATATTTGTATAATGAATTCGCAATGTCAAATACGTTTTTCTGCTGATTTCAAGTTCTTACGTGTATCTATTCTATTACAGACGCAGTTGGTGATGTACTGGGTGTCGCATCAGCGGAACCTGGGGCCATTTTATACGAAGCTTCAGAGAAACTCATAGAAGGAACGTATGGTGTTTATGAGTATATAAACATGATTGGTAAGTGCTTATGAGTACGTAGACATGATTGATTTTTATTTTTTTTTAGGCTGGAACATTCACGTTGTTTGCTGCTGTGGCTTTTTCCTTTTCACCTATATTTTTGCAGAAGATCAAATGGAGAAGGCTGTACAACAATGTCTTTTGGCTGCAGCGCATCAGTTTGATACTATCTGGCAAAAGAAAATGCTGAGAGTTGGTGTCATAAAGAATTGAAGATTATATTTATGAACTGAAAAGTTAAAACATATGATATTGTAGTAGATAATTTCCTCAAGCTCCGTATGCTATGAGACATGTATTAAGGCAGCATCTCTTGGGAAGTCACTGTTGCGGCGACAGGATGCTTCACAGTTTGTTGACATTTGCCGTGTTATCAGAGTGCTGAACTTTCTTCGAAAACCGTATATCGGGATGGCATTATCATTTGCGCAGTAAGTTTTTGATATTAACATAATGTTCATAATGATAGTATTATAAAGTACAAAAATAACGAATTTTTATTATGACACTATGCCTGAATTTACAAAAAACTATTGACGATTGTAGCAGATACATGAAGAAAGAATAAAACTGCTTTATTATATAGTGGGAATGAGTTTCATTGTCACTGAGCAGACGTGGAATTGTAAATCTATTTCTCATCAATATCGGACATGTCGATCAATCCGACTTGTAAAAGTTATGAAGGACAAAACACTACCTCTGAAAAATTAGTATGAATTGATTCTGAGCTCTTAAGGAATGACGCGAGTAAAATTTCATTATGGGGTAATAATTATGTAAACAAGTGGGTTAGTTTATAGGAGATGGTTTAAAAAGCCAAAAAAGGAAGAAAAAAAAAAAAACTGAAACTGAAACTGAACATCTTACTACGTCGAGTTCAACCTTATTACGGTATTCTTTCTTTGTGTGTTTACAACGCCCTTTTAGTTTCTGTTTCAAAAGATCCTCATAAGATGATCAAACGCCTTTATGCACAAAGATCTAACGTATATATTTGAGAAACTACATCTAAGTTGTGGGGGAAACTGTAATATTTGTTCTATTAATATTATTTTACTATTCAGTCCACTCATTCTGTGATTCAATGGACTACTGAATGCGTTCGTTCGACTGGCAGTCTTAATTGAGATTGAAATAGAACTCATAAATATCTAAGAAAGTCCGTGTTAAAACTTATTTTCTAGTTAAGTTGTAGTTCTAAGGATATTTTCTGATTAATTACTATGTTTTTCAAAAGTATCAATCATGTGTAGTAAATGAGTAGATTGGAACCAGTTGCTATTTGTAGGTCCATTCAAGAATGAAGATATATATATATATATATATGTAGTTAGCTCTATATACTATATATATGACTATATATATGGTTGAGATTTCCTGCTAAAAGGATTTATGTTATGAAATCATTTGTTTCAGGTCAGAGGAGTTGAAAATGAGTGCTGTGGTTGATCGCCTTACAGATTTGGGTCAGTGGCCTTTGGCATTAACCATTAGTAAATATATGAAGGTGCCTTCGAAAAATGGAATTTACAGAGTATTGGCTCATTGGGCATTGAAGAAGGTTAGTTTCTTGATAAAAGAGTGCTTTTTCTTTGTTTCATTCTCCATTTTTTATTTCCGTTTTCTCTGTTTTCAGTGGTTTGAGTTCTAAACTTTTGTTGCTTTAGAATGTATTTGTTTTCAATTGACTTTGTTTTTATGTTTCATGTTTGAACGAATGTTTATTTTCTTCAGGTAGAAATGGCGAAAGCGGCAAAAGAAGTAGGGAAAATGCCCGATTTTAAAGCCTTATCAGAAACAATTGTTAGCAAATTTACAAATTATCCTGAAGTTAGCTTTGCAGGTTAGATATCTTCTTGGAGCACCTAAATTTGTAACTTGAGATCTTTTTAATGCTCCGTGTCATAAAGTTATGGCACGTATTCTTATAGATGTCGCAATGAAAGCTGCTGGTGCCAATTTAAATGAATTAGCTGAACTTTTGCTGGATAGGGAAACATGTCTTAACAGACAGGTCGAAATGCTTATGAAGTTGAATAAAACTGATCGAGCTTTAGCAAAGGCTGCAAAAAGTCAGCAGCCGGATCTTTGTAAGTGCGCTTAATCCCATTTGGATATATCTGGTTTTTATTAGCACATTTACCATATAAACGTATTATTTTATTTGAAGCTGATGTGACATACACACCGAAAGACTTTTGGAATTGTTACGATTAAAGTAGTTAGTGCATTTCAGTACATTACGTTCTAACTTATTTGAAAAGAACGCAAAAGAAGGAAGTCATCGATCACCTTGTGCTGAAATTACCACAGGTCCTTTGTCTCTATCAGGATTACTTAAAGGTAACGATAATGCAGTCAACAAAAGTTTCTTTTAATAATCATTTGAGCTGCGTTCTATATTTGAAAGGAGTTTTTACAGGAGGAAGCACCTCGTCATCTTCTGGCGTTGTATATGCAGAAAGACGACTTTGCTCGTCAATCGTTATACTACTTGAAGGAGTCCGAATCTACGCCATGGAATCCTTTTGATAATAAGGATAAAGTGGAAGGATTGTTGAAAGCAGAGATGAGCTTGAATAAGCTGAGAGTATGTGTACCGTTCATTTTGCTTTGAGAACATAAATGACTAATATTATAATGAAGTAATGACTGGAATCATTGGTATTTTAACATATTCAGAAGTTTTGTTTTTTAGGAACATACGACAGCTCAGTTGGCTGCTGAAACAGCGGAATTATTTAGTATATGCGAAACTTTGGACAAAAAACCTGATTTTAATGATGTTGACAGAACGAGTGTTAGATGTGTTTACATGTGGGCCGTGGGACATCGGGAAGATAATTTGGCGGAATTGCTGAGGAAGAAATTTAAATTAACTGAGAAAGCGTATGCTTTTGCTTTTTGTTTTTTGATAAAGTGTTTTACATTTTTAAAAAAAAATTGATTGTCATTTAATAAGAATTATAGTAATTCAACTCGTCTCATTATGGTGCGTTGCTGTATTTCGTTTCAGTCGTGCGTCCCAAATCTTACTAAAAAAAAGTTTGGAGCAGTTCTGTTTAATCAGTAATAATGAGACTATTGGTCTTAAAACTAAAGTTTTTTCGTAAAAATGGAAGAAAGTATCAACTAACCACGATTTGCATGAAACTCTAATAATATTAGGTTTCATAAAAGGCCCTTCTGCATAGTTGAGTTGATCATATTTAATTGTTTTCATAGTTTCGCTAAGTGACAGTTGTTTGGACGATTTTGCAGCTCGTTCAAAATGATGCCTAGGCATTACAAAAAGCGATACCATAATGAAATTTTAAGCATTCATCATAGTTTCGAAATTCGTTTTGTAGATGGTACATGTGGAAGATTGAAAGCTATGCTCGAAATAAATTATGGCATCATCTTGAAAGCTTATTCAGATCGAAAAAGGTTCTCGCAAGTCACATGGTAAACCAAATTGTACTCTTTCATACTGCATTATTGCAATGGTCACAGTATTGTATCTTATCCTTTTCTTTTATACTTATTTTCATTTGTTAAGATGCTAAATAAAAAGTTAAATAAATTATTTCCAGCCATTTATCGAAGCTTGCGCAAGTTATGGAAATGAGTCTCTATGTAGATCATTCATTGGGAAACTTACAAATCCCATTGATGTGGTTGAAAGCCTGCTGCTGTTGGAGTTAGTTTTTACTTATTTTGTTCATATTAAAAGTTTTTATTAAGAAATTAGCATATCGTTATAGAAACATAGTAATCAGTCAATTTATGGAGTCTCTTTCGTTCTCAGAAAATGAACAAACCTCATTACTATAATATATATATCATGATTTCTTCTGTTAACGTTTCTATGCTATCAAAAGAAATACATTGTTACGCTTTTGCTTTTTTAATACGAAAAGGCATTACAGAAAGCCAATTGAAGCGGCAAATTATGCTGCTGAGAAGAAATTGTTTATCGTGCTTGAAAAAATTCACGCTCGATATCGGGGAAACAAAGAAGTTGTTCCAGTTATCGCACAAATTTTGGATTCCACAAGAAAGATGTGATTTCACTGCAAAATTCCTAAGTATTTTTGAGTTGTGCCGAGACTTTTAGTGCAGCGTTTCCCTTTGATGGTTAAGCTTTATACTGGACTTTGCTAAACAGGAGACTTCAGAAGGCAAATCATAACAGCTGCTGCTATTTTTTTTTTGAATTTATTCATTGGTTTTGAGGTTAGAAACATAAAAAGACCTAATTTCATATGACAGTATGGAGTAGGTTAGTTTTATATGTGTCCCATTAGCCATGTGCAGTTATTTCTACCTCCAGCCATTTCTCAGAGAATGTGAAGCTGTTGAAAGGTTTGCTCTGTCACACAACCAAAAAGTAGTTTTGTTTGTAACAATAATTTTGAACATATTTTTGCATTTATTATCGTTAATATTTAAAAAACATAGAATTCATTATTCTTTGTCACACTCTTGTAAGTTTCTTAGTACAAATTTTGTGCTGTTCTTATTTTTATATCTTCATTATGTATTTATGAAATTTGCAGTTAGTGTTTTGAAAATTGGTTTTATTAAATACTCTGTGGTGTAAATCCAATTTTCTTGTTTTATAGAGTGTTATATTCACTGCTGTTGCAGAAATACAGTTCTTAAAGTAAGTTGATCTATTGCGACGTTTGTAATCGGTTCAAAGTGTATTCGGTTTAATTTTCACATCACCTATTTCATCATTCCTAAACCCAACGACGAAAATTTTCAGGATGGAGGAGGCATCTCTTAATATGCTGTTGAAACCTGAAAGCACGACTATTTCACGGATACGCGAAAGGAGGCGGGAACGCATTTTACGTAACTCCGATCAACGCATTAGAAGTATCTTGGGTGGATTAGATGGAGGTTGGCTTGCAGTATTTATTTTCCTATTCATTGTAAAGAATTGTATATTGTTGAAGGTTTGCCTTAATCTCGAAACATATTCAGCAGAGCTAAGAAATGCACCTGCACTGGAGGGTGGCGAATGTTTTAGAAATTTGGTGTCTCCATCTGAAACTTCAATAAGGTGAAAACCAATATATTTTTTTGGCCAGATGTATGTCCATTTATTAATTTTTTATTAATAATTTCATTAAATTTCCCTATGCTTATATCCTTACTGCATATTTCATTGTATCTTTGGATAATTTCATGAATGAAAATAATGGTGAAGAGACGGCAATTAAATCGATACTGTCATCTTTTTCGTGTACGTCAGTGAATCGTTTGTGGAAAGCTTTACTTGTTGGTATGTTCCGTGCAGCTTATGCGAGAACACTTTTCTCCTTTTGCTGGAATCTGAAGTTTGAAAATCTTTGTGCGAGAATGTTTCAATTAAGGGTTTCAATTAATGGTTTCAATTAATGGTAAACAAGTTTTGTAATTAGATAAATTCTCTTTCTGTAATACAAATCCTTTTTTTTCAACTGCATCACTTTAATTTTAGGATTGGTTATGCGATTGGCAGTTTCCTTTTTGATGATAGAGAATATTATCTGGCCTTGGATCATTCTTTACATGTTATCTGCATGTAAAAAGGTTTTTCAGGTTACATGTACATAGATTTTTTTCAGAAGTTGTGAAGTTATAGAAGCATTTGATATAAATCAGAGAAACACTGTTTCCTCAAGAAAAAATTATCTTTTAACCAGCTAAGTTTAATTAAAAGACAATTTTTGAACAGTTATTTCTATTCCACTAACAAGTTATTGACTGAATTAGTTTTAGCTTTCTTCTCTACATGCTGCTGTTGGTTATTTTCTCCATCCAAGGCTACATTTGGGATTGAATCTTTTATCATATGCAGGTTATAATACTCGTTTTATAGCACTGCAAGAGAATACTCGTTTTTTTTTTATAGTTTATTTAGTTCTTTATCATGATCAAAACTATATTTTAGGCGCTGTTGTTCAAAACATATGGTGTTTTATCAAGGAGTCTTTAATGGTTGCGTTGTCTTTTATATTATTTAATGCACTGTTTTGCGCCTTTGCTCTGATTGTTGGTAAATGTTGCTTACTGTAGGCTTTCTTTTTTAGGCTGGTTTTTTTGGTCCCTATAATTCATGTTTTCATACATTATTAACAACCAATTTTGCTACTGAAACTTTAAATCAAGGCAAAATAGTGTCATATGCATACTGCTGACCATTTACTATATTGTTAAACTTCGGTTATGCCACTTCGTCGTCTACATCGTTCTTTCATAATAATAATAATATAAGATTCACTATTCTTTTAAATGTGGATATAATACAGCTGTTTAGGTTTTTGTTTGGTTTTATCCTTGATGTGTGTTGCATGGTCTGCTAATAAATGCTGAATTCTATTTACTCTTGGCTCATGTGCTCATCTCCCCTCTTCCTTTACAAATTTGGTGAACAGGTGTTACATTGTCCATCTCTGGAGAAATTATCTTCAGCTTTTCTGAAACAAGTTGGTTTCCTTTGGCCCGGATTTTGTACTTAGAAGTATTTTAAACATATTTGAAGATTAATCCAGTTTTTTTATCTGGTGCAGGGAATTTTAAAAATAACCTTGGAAACAATGAATCGCCGACTAGGTTCTTATCCCAGTGTGTGCGAATTGTTTAGTCTTTCAACAAGCCTTGGAATAGGCCTTCGAAAACTTTCCATGGTTTGAATGTTTCTAAAGCAGAAAAATGTCGCAGCGTTAGCAATGCTATAATTAACATCAATAAGTCTTGTCGCAAACGTATCACAGATCTATCCGAATTTGTGCAAATTATTTAGTTGATTTATTTGATTGTTTTATTCGTATGGGTTTGACAGATCTTTTGAGCGGTATTTACTGGCACAATTCGCAATTCATTTACTTGAGGAGATTTAAGAATTTTTGATTATTCTTAAAAATAACCAAATAACAACGTTAGTGTTTTCATTTTTCCTGCTTATTGTGTATGTAACGGTAACGGAGCCAGTAGTAGGCAATTTCAATTTCAACTGATTATATGTGCTGTGATGCATGTCGTCAGTCGACGTTCCAAATGACCCATTTTGTTAACAATGATTAATCAATCTTTCGACATTTATTTACTGCACAACTGCAAGTCTGTTTTACTATTTGATATATTGTCTTTGCATGATGACATAGACAACTGTAATAAATAGAATGGTTGGACATGATTGTTAGACACTTTGTTTGACATATATTTCATATCGAAGTAAAGCGGAGCATCTCTGTTGAAAATATAATTGGTTGGAATCAGTGACAGACGGATTTTTTGTTTTAAACTGTAAATTGGTGAAATGAAGAAAGACAACTTTCTTTATAACTTTGTTCTTTTAAAGAAAAACTTGTGTTTCTATTTCTTGTTATATATTTCAGTTCTTTATTTCTTCTTTTTTTTTGATATATTGTGCATACATGTTACTTATATTTTCTATTGTATCGTGTAATTTAAGCTTGATGGCTCCTGTTTGTTTGGCTCCTATTTGTTTTGTTTAAAAGATCACATATTATATATGCAATTAATATTTGGAGTTATTTTTTAGTCATAGAAGGAAAAGGGAATTTTGCAGACGGTTACTTCATATGTTTTTGGAACTGCTATGAATAATGATGCTGATACCGTCCGACCAAGAAACTGTTGATTTGAAGAATATACAGCAGCATTTCAAGCTTTGTTTCTTGGCAGTCCAAAAGTGTTCATAAAGTTAATTTTAGAAATGAAGTGAATTTTGCTTAAAGATTAAGATTTAAAGTGATGAATCCACATGAATGGCATTAATAATAATTTCAACGTATTCAGTTAATCGTGAAAATGTGTGGACTGTGAATATTGTGGACTTGCAACGATATACACGTTAGCAACATTTCCATTTTTTGTGACTATGGTGACATTTTTTCTTCATCTATTTTTACAACTTAGAAGTTGTAAAGTAGATGAGCAGTCATCAAGGATAGCTTGATCTTCTAAAACAAAGCTACTAAAGTTTTTTCTATAGGGACCAAATATTTCCAGGTAACATAAGAGGGGCATCAGGGTCTTTTCAAAAAGCAGTCATGGGATTTAATGAAATCAGTCTGTGGATTTAGATGATTGCATGTTCAGGTAATGCACTGTCAAAGAAATTATAACAATAGTTCGCTATCTTTGATGGAACCGAGGAAAAAAAGAACAATCATTTGAGATGCTAATTCACTACTTTGAGCGTTATGATGCAGTTAGCAATGTAGTAATTGATTGTCATTTACCTATATCCTTTTCATCAGATATTACTATTTCGCATCAGACACCACTTGCACTTGTGATTTCAATACACTATGGATTATTAAATATCATTGCATTAAGTGTCAACGGTTTGCTTCGTGAATCATTTCATTCTCTATAGTGCTATATTCAAGAAGATTGAATGTTCAGCCAACAGCTGCTTTTATTGTCGCTTGCCTAAAATATGGGCGTTTTATTTATTATCGGCATGTGACCACATTCTTCTTGATCTGATTTTATTCTTTAAACTCGATTTCGCTCAATTTAATTGCTAGTTTTTTCAGTTGTTGACAAATCTTTGTTCTTTAAAAGAACAGTTATTTTTTACATCAGTTCAATTATTCAATTACAATACGACATATTTGATATATATATTACAAATTATAATGCTATTGTAATGTAGTTGATACAGATGTATAGTATGGTTCAATGATAAAATACAAGATGTTTTTAGGAGTTAGCCGTAGAACACAACTTAAATAATCAGGAATTTGGATCATTAAGAACTTTCTATAATTGATTAATAAGTTTTGGCATAAATGATTGAATTTTTATAAGAATTTTGCATGCATGTTTATTGATCACTCCTAAAAAAATTAGAATTTAGTATAAAGTCTCCATCAGTTTAAGAGATTACAAGGTATTTCCTTCAAACCTTAAACTATACCTGAGCTGGAGTAATGCAAAAAGTCCATGATAGTTCAATTATTTTGAAAACGAAATGAAAGAGTGTGCGACTCGTATTGTTCCCTATGCGTAAAGTAATGGTTATTGTTGCATGTGCGTTACGAATAAACAATCCAATAATTGGTGGTATTGCCACGTAGAAATATGGTAGCGCGCTTACCTACAGTCGAAATCACCATTTGTTTTTTGGTTTGGATAGTACATTCCTTCGCTGCATTTTACGTCGCATGGAATGTCTCTTCCACTTTTCGCCACAAAATAGTTCTGAAAGCTAGCGAGTACGATTTTGAAGTGTAAAATTCGAATTCTATCCCTTAAAACAAGAAATCTCTATGAGCAAAATTGACTAATTAAAGGATGGAAAATCGAAGTACTAGGTATTGGTGCGCTACATTTGAATACGCGCCCTAATCCACCGCGAAATTTTTTTAATCCTTTCGCTGGAGAGTAGAGTATAATTATCATTAAATATGAATGAATCAAAATTATTCTTAACCATTATAAATCCTTAAAATCCAGTAATAGCATAAATATCATTCGTTTGAATAACGCATAATTTCAGATATATAAATGGTTATCAAAGAGATCATACCGATGCTGAATGGGAATTTTACAGCAAATCGCTAAGCAGAATATTGATTATCAATACTTTACATATGGGTAATTTAATTTGTTTTACACAACACACTTCTAATTTTTTTTTTTTTTTTGTTTATGTTTTTTTATGTTTTTTGTTTTGTTTTCTCACTGAAAGCTGTCAAAATTGCACCAGTGATTTATTTCAGTGCTGTTCAAAATTTGTCCAGTCCTTCTGCCAAAGAAGTTATCGCAGTGTTTATTGTTGGCATTTTGGATTGTTGCAGAGATCTTTTTCACAAGGTTGGAATGGTAGCTAGAAATAATTCTCCTTCAGAATTTTTGAGCTTTAAATTGCTTCTAAATTGAAATTACATTTCATTATCTAAGCATTAGGGAAAAAAAAACATACCGATATCTTCCTACTGAAAATTATACTTCAATCTGTTTTCGCTAAAATACTATAATAAAATAAATTTCAGTGCGACTTGCGTTGTAATTGTGTTCACGTTGGCTGTCGTAATGGGTATTATAGCAAACTATTGGCGTAGTGAACTAGTTTACTGGTTTACCCTTATAATGTTGATAGTCAAAATTCATTCAATCATAAATTTCAGTAAAGTTGAAGATGTTTATTACAGAGAATTCAATTATTACCTTTATAGCACTGTAAAGGTTAGCTCTGTTTTCATTCAAATTTTTGTCTTCACCCACTTTACGATTAACCTTTTTGAAATCTAAGGATTGTTTTTTCAGAAAATGACCTGTTCATTTTATAGATTCTTAATTTTTGCATTTATTTATCACGAACAAAGGATATAAGCGTCAGTTCTTCACTATTTTTCCGTTATATTCAATACATATTTTATCCACCATACTCGATTGTTCTAATTGTTCTATTCAATGATTTTGATGCAGAAATGACAGAGATTGAAAATGGTTCCATGAAATGCATAAATTACAGGTTTTTTTTTTTTTTTTTTGATTTTTGATATACATCCATTTTTTTCTCAACAGTCAAACAAATAGCTATGCGCAAGAAAGATTTTTGGACTTAAAAAGAAGAATGATTACTTAATTTGAAAGATTCGTAAATTCCAGCTGATGACTACTTTATGCGGAATTCTCGAATTAGTGCGACAGTTAACAGTTCACAATATAAACAGCAAGTAAAAAATTTGCTAGTAACTCAGAAATTTTACATCATTCTATGTTAGAATTTGTATAGATCAAAAATTTTATATTTCAACAACTCTAACAATATTTTTTAAGGATTTTGATCAAATAGGATGTCATCCAGTAATGGATACTAAAAAATATTAATTTATTTACAAAAACTCACTTTTTGAAAACCTTATTTGATCGCATTATAATAAGATGTAGAAAAACGGACATTGTTGTACAAATGTTGATTTGCATAAAACACTGGTATTGAAGGGAAACTCAATGATTTCTAAATGGATGTTTTCCTTGCTTTGATCATTTCCACTATTATTCATTCTCTAGTATTAAGCTAACAGTGACTCATGATGAACCCTCTTAACTAAAAAAGATTTTAAAGATTGATTTTAACAGTTTTTATTATAATTTAAAAAGAAAAATTCCAGAGATTTTTTATTTGAAACCTACTAAAATATTTCAAAAGTTGCATTGCATTTAAGGATAATGAATGTGACGTACTGAAATTCTAGTGAAAATGAATGCTTATCTCATTCGGAAGATTAAACAATATCTGACAGTTCATTTCATTATTCACTAATTTTTTCCTGTCATTTACATTACAAAAAAGAAACAAAAACTTTCAAAGCATGAAAATATCTTTAACAGAGATTGTTTTCTTAATGGATATTTTAAAATTTAATATGCAAGATGGACCTATTTTCCTATTTCTAACAGGCAAAACACGAGAAATCAGTAAAATAAATCTCATAATCGGTTATTCTTTAGGCTTTTATATATTTTATGTACTGTATCATTTAATTATACAAGTAAAAAAATATTATTTGTTATACATTTTCAAACTATTTGTGCATGTTTTGTTTCATTTTTCCAGTGGAAATTTATTAGTTGCATACAGTTTTATATGAAGTAAAAGATGAAGTTGAGATCTTTTCAGAATTTTGATGATACGCTTGGTACGTATTATAGCCTGGTTCATAGCATTCGAAATAATATTACACTTCATCCATGTTCACGCAGTTCTTGTCATCGGTCCAGCTTTATTCGATACTCTTAATGAGTATGAAAGTAAGTTCTCTGTGAAACTCAGCTTTGTATTTGTTATCTAACGAGGAAAAGTTTGTTATGTCACATTTCTTACTGACTAACTTTACTGGGTTGTAGTGGATGAATCACGAAGTGTAAACAATGACAGGCACAAACATACGTACAAATCATGGAATACTATTATTTTCATTTATTGCTGTTATGATTATTCGTATTATTGTTGTTGTTTTCTACTAAGTTTTGTTATTACATTGTTATTATTTTCAGGTATTACCGCCACCATGATTATTTTAGTTAATGTTACCATGATTATTTCATTACCGTCGTTGTGACTCCTATTATTGCTGTTTTTGTAGTAATTGTAATTGTTACTTATTATGTAATCAAGAACATGATTACGAATTTGGCTACTGTAATTGATTGTAATCCTTACAGTAGCGAGTATATCGTATGTCAATGGCAAATTATTCTATATGAAATACTTGTTGATATTCGGAATTCCGTCTTGGTTCGCCTTTGCTGATGGTATGAAACCCCCAGCTGGACCCATTTGCATATCTCGTATCAGCAACTATTCACAGATGTGGCGCAGTTTCGATAGAGGTCTTTACGTATTCCTCAAAAAACAGGTTTGCATTTCCAAAAAAATTAGCAAACTCTTCAAAAAACAATTAATCATTAAACAGGAGATTCATGTCCAACCGTAGGAAAAAAAAAAAACTCTTCATCAAAAATTAACAATATTCACATCCCTGATGGAAATAATCCTAATTTTTTGAATAGCTTCTGCTGTTCCAGTTATATATACCAGTATCAGGTGATCCAAGCAGCAAATATTTTGTATTACGTCGTTTCGGAGCACTGGGAACTGTATTTCTATTCGTACTTGCGTGGCACGGAACTTCTTCAAACTATTTTTACTGGGTTTTACTTAACAGTCTTGAAATATGCATGGAATGGTTTGGAGTAGCAATATCTAAAACTGCTTTCTACAGCAAGATCCGAAATTTTCTGGGGCCCAGAGGAGAACGAAGGCTTATCGCTTTTTCAATGATAATTACTGTTGTGCCTGGTAAAATTTTCTTTTTCATGTTCGACGGTGCAAACCATCTAACCACTTTTAATGAAAATAGAGTCAAATACGTACTAAAAATTAGAAGAAAAATTGCTGGCACTGAGCAATATTTGCAAAGTAAAAGTGAGATAGAATTTGGAATTCAAAGCAGAAATAGAGAACTTGCCAAGCACAGATTTTACGCAAAGCAAATAGGAAATTAAATTAATTCGTTAGTGGGTCAGATGCGCTTCGAAAGTAGTAAGAATTGTACAGCTGCAAAATTTATTTCAGGAATCATGGGTGTATTTTTCTTTCTCAGTCGAAGAGAAATCGGAATTATTGTTTTTAAACGTTTGTGTATCAATTTGGTTGGTACAATTATGCAATTCACCCTAAATTTACCCAACAGGTAGAGTTCAGTGTCTTTTTTTTTAAATAGACACAACAAAAAAATTCCATACGGAACTATATCTCTTTCTAGCAAGCGGATGCTGACATCACTGACATGTTAAATTCCTAACCAAAAAAAAAAAGACGATGGAACGGATTTGCAGTTAAACAAACAAAAGAGCAGTTAAATTACATAATAATCTGAAGTAATCCGAAATGATTTTAGGTTACTTTATTATTATGCGATATCTGCGCATTTCATAGTGCTTGGATATTGCTTTAATCATGTTTGCCTTGAACTCGAAAAATATTATGCTGTCAAACAAGTTTCGGGAGATGAAGTTAAACGAAAAATATTGTAAGCCAGTCGACATCCATGCAAGCGAAATGAGGAAAGCATTTGAAAAACTTTGCAATGTCACGACATTTACGAAAGAATCAAACATAGGACCATATCATATTTTTTTGCTAGTATTTGTTGTAAAAATAACAGGGAAAAGATCAAATAAAATTATTTCTGGAGCTAGATTTTATGTATAGAAGCAGTAGTGATGTGTCGGAGACACAATGCATCGACATAACTTTTCCAAGTGAGATGAGCTACATATAATGTCTCATATTATCGTGAATACAATACTTCTGTAAAGCAATATGAAAATATGACGTCAGGAGGGAGAGGGAGACAACAATCCAGTTAAATGGCGGAAATTTTGAACACATCATTGGACAAATACAGTGCAAAGCATTTCGGAATAGTGGTCATTGGATTATTTCATGTCTTTTTAAAAATTCCAAAATCAGAAGAAAGATATTGGCAGTATTGAAAACCGAAATGGTGAAGTCCCACTAATGGCGAAGGAAAACAGATTAATAGAAAATGTATGTCTGACTACACAGCTAATTCCATGTTTGGAAATGAGTATTTAGGTAGAACAGGGAATAAAACAATACTCGAGATCTCGGTCTTTCGAATAAAATTCTACTAGGACTGCGTCTGTGAAATATAAACCAACACTATGCTTCCAGAAAAGACAGTTACCTAGACCTACGTCTTTTAATTCAAGTCTTAAACACATCAAGCCACTTCTATCGGCCAACGCAACTATTCATGGAATAGTCTTTATCTCTGAATTCTCAAACAGTATAACTGTTTAACTCCTGGTCGACTTTTACTGAGTTCAGTCTGATGTTTACTTGAGTCATCCCATCATTTCAATTTCTGCAAAATCGAACCTGAGCACTTAACCATACAGGAAATATTTGCAATGGTGGGAAAGATGTTTCATAAATTTCAAATTAACCATATATCCAGCATAAAAATCCTACGATTCCGCGTCGCCTTCTTCAACATTTTCCTGCGGCTAAGTTTTTACTAACAACCTTTATTTCACGAAAGACTGTGTCACAAAAAAAAAAACTGACACAATGAACCGCTCGACCACTTCACTACATCCATTTCTCGATTATGCAACTCCATCACTGCCCCATTTGCGCTTCTTTCCTTCACAGAATATTTAGCTGCAGCAGCCTTAACCACACTGGGAATTTTGCAGTTTTTCGCAGACACGATATGAAATTGCTATGTGGAAGTGCCGTGTTGTGAGGACATTTTAGTTGTGTGTGTATCATTTGATTGGGTGATGGCATAGTTGTTTTTTTGTGACAGCTCTCAAGAATGATTTTGGTGGTTTGGACATTCTGCAGTAGTATGAATAAGGATTACTTTCAGGACAACATATTCAGGAAATACAGTTAAACTCGTATCAGTAGTTGTTGGGAGCTGTTTTCATCGCACAGCAAACGTTTTATCCTCATAAAGTTGGCTTCGTTCACGGAACTCGCTTCAGAATGGGAAGTATGTCTTACAGTTGTTTTTCTCTTGGTATTTCTGTACGTATGATTTAGTGCTCTGGCACACTTCTAGGCCATTACAAACTTAATTAGATCGTGCAAAACTCATTGCAAGAGAAGACAATACTTTATAGGTTAGCTGTTACTTAAATTTAAAAGTAATACTTTCAAAGCGAAAAAAGACTTATGAATCCGGATATAGAAAAAATGAGGATGTTAAGTCAATTGATTATTTTCATGAACAATCATTTAGTGAGTATTTCAAAACTTTAGTTTTGGATATCCATTTATATGAAATTTTTATTTGAAAATTATCAACCACATCGAAAATTCACCGTAGTTTTTGAAAAGTGAGTCCCCCGTTGATTTGTTTAAAAGAAGTGAGGTCATGATTGATCTGCTTGCTTCCTTTCACCTAAAATTTAAAATTTCTGAATGGTCAGAGTGGATGTATTTTGTTCATTCATTTGGTTTCAGTAAAGTTTTTGGAGTTTGTGAAGCCTTTTTGCGGTTTTGTACCGGAAGTGTCAAAGCCTGAAAGAAAAATTCAATTTCGCGAAAAAATGTTGTGGACAGCAATTACATTATTCGTATTTCTTGTTTGTTGTCAAATACCTTTGTTTGGTAAATTTTTTTTTTTTTAAACCATTTTATGATATATAACTTGTACGTGGCAGTTTTAAATTTTACAAGTCTATTGGAGGTTTTTTCTTATGATTCTTACAGGAATTATGTCAACAGACAGTGCAGACCCATTTTACTGGCTTCGAGTCATTTTGGCTTCAAACAGAGGAACACTTATGGAGCTTGGCATTTCACCTATTGTGACATCTGGTCTAATAATGCAGTTATTAGCAGGCGCAAAAATCATTGAAGTAGGAGATACTCCAAAGGAACGCGCACTTTTCAACGGCGCTCAAAAATGTGTGTTGAGAAATTTTTTTTTAGTAGTTCATCGTTAGTACTTCTTGTTATTGTTTGGACCACGAATGTTTAAAATCGTATTCATAATCGTTACCGTAATCCCGCTTAGTGCTTTTACTGCGCAGTTCCCGATGGGATGTTCTATCGTTAGCATTGTAATTACCTTGAACTACTTTATTTCCAGTATTTGGTATGGTAATTACGATTGGACAAGCAATTGTTTATGTGGCATCTGGCTTGTATGGAGATCCTACGGAAATTGGTGCTGGTATTTGTTTGCTTATTGTTATTCAACTTGTTGTAGCTGGCCTCATTGTTTTACTTCTGGATGAGTTACTACAGGTATGCACACTACGATTCATGTGTCAATCTTTGTTGTAGATGTTTTTTCCCTACTCTTGCTCTAAACAGAATTATCACGTTTTTGGATTGTTAAGGTAGCAGCTTAGTCAAAGGCAAATAATTCGTTTTTTCCTTTTTGCTAATTCCTAGTTAGTGTTCAGTTTACGAAATTTTTGAGGTTATTTAATTGGTCTCGTATTTAAGAAAGGATATGGACTAGGCTCGGGTATTTCATTGTTTATCGCAACAAACATATGTGAGACGATTGTTTGGAAGGCTTTTTCACCAGCTACATTAAATACTGGTCGAGGAACGGAATTTGAAGGTGCGATTATTGCACTTTTCCATTTGCTTGCTACTCGGAACGATAAAATTCGAGCATTGCGTGAAGCATTTTATCGACCAAACTTGCCAAATCTAATGAACTTAATGGCCACAGTACTTGTATTTGCTGTGGTTATATATTTTCAGGTTATTTAATATATTTTTTGCACTTTTGGCTGCATAATTCTTTCATGTTTCTAGAGTTAATACATTAATTTTCACTTTTAAGAACATATTGAATTTATGACAATGTATTCAAAAGTTATTTTTTAAAAAACAAAGATTACACACAAATATTTTATTTGTAGGGATTCCGAGTTGACTTACCAATCAAGAGTGCCCGGTATCGTGGACAGTATAGTTCGTATCCAATCAAACTTTTTTATACGTCTAACATACCAATCATCTTGCAGTCTGCTCTCGTTTCTAATTTGTATGTAATTTCACAGGTAAACTGACTTCCATTGAAATTCATGCTGCAGACAATACCCTTTCAGCTTTTAAGGTCTTCATAAAATCATATATTCTTTCTCTAGATACTTAAAGATTCTCTCATTTAACTTGTGACTTTTCTTTATATAGTTTTACACATCAATAACAAAAAATTACATGATTTTATGTAAAGTTGATTCTGTTACTTTTATATTTAACAGTTTTTAATTTCATGCTTTCTAAGTTTGTTTTGTTATGTAGTCATAACAGACAATGGAATAGAGAATGTTTTCTAAAAGATGTATTATATGAAATTCAGATGCTGGCAGCAAAATTTGGAGGCAATATTCTGGTCAATTTGTTAGGTACGTGGTCGGATGCAGGTGGCTATCGAAGTTATCCAACCGGTGGCATTTGTTATTATTTATCACCCCCAGAAACTCTAGCACATGTTATTGAGGATCCTATGCACTGCATTGTATACATTGTTTTTATGTTAGGTTCATGCGCGTTCTTCTCGAAAACATGGATAGACGTATCTGGGAGTAGCGCGAAAGATGTGAGTTGTATTCTGAGATCTTTACATATAAGTTTATATACGATTGTTTTATATTCTTTATTTTTATGTTCAGTTTATTTTTGGACAATTTAGGTTGCAAAGCAGTTGAAAGAACAACAAATGGTTATGAGAGGCCATCGTGAGAAGTCAATGATTCATGAGTTAAATCGATATATTCCAACGGCAGCCGCATTTGGTGGTTTGTGTATTGGGGCTTTATCAGTCACTGCTGATTTTATGGGTATTTTTTTTTTTCTATATTGGAGTTTTGAGCATATTCATTTTCAGTATTGTTTCTTATCTGACTGTCTATTATCTATTTCTATAGGGATGAATTTCGAACTCCTGGATAACTGACAAACTTTACTGTTCAAGGGGAACAAAACTTTTTTTTTGTCGGTTTTCTTATTGATGTTGCTTACTAATCTTTTTAATTTCACAATGGCAATCAAATCCAGTCGAAGATTGGTCGCAATTTTTTGCTTCCTTAAGTCTTTCTGTTTATAATATAGCGCTTTCATGATAGGAAGTATTCTGGCATGTGTACAATATTTAATTATTGGTTAACACATTTTAAGGTGCAATCGGCAGCGGTACTGGCATCTTGTTGGCAGTAACAATAATATATCAGTATTTTGAAATATTTGTTAAAGAGCAACAAGAAATGGGAGGTGTAGCAGGAATGTTTTTCTGATACTTTATTGTTAGCTATGGAAGATTAATTTTTGCCTCCACAGTTTGTTTGTTTTACTAAGCGAGAGATATATCGAAAGTTAAATTGTTCACCAAAAAAGTTTTTGAATATTCACTTTGATATTTGCTTGTTTTTTAAAAAACCACATATGACGATGATTACTGCTGCAGTTATATATGTATTATTTTTCTGTTTTTGCTATCTCTATCTATTATGTAAACATTGTTCAAAGAGCAGAGCTGATTGAAGCTATTAATAAGTGCATTGGTTCTTATTTTATTTTTATACTTCTCTTATAACTTATATCTGTACTGGATTTCATTTGCGTCATAGAATTAATTGTCTTATATCCCGATGTTGCTTACGATGCTATGAAAATAATACTGCTAATTTGTGATTTGCAACTATTTCCAGTGAAAAAAAGTATGTCCTGAAGTAGTTTCTTTTTTTGCGTTTACAGAGCCTCCTAAAAATATGCTTTATTACAAGGAGATTTGTAAACCATATCCTCAAAATGTTTCAAAACTTTGCATGCTGTATTTTGCGATTTTCCTTCGAGTGTATTATTGTAATAGTTTCAGCTGACAGTGTTTGAACCGGAATTTTGTAACTAGAATTTTTAATGTGCTGAAAACTGGACTTTATCAGTGAGAGATTGGTCTAATTTATCTGACATTTTGCAATAAAGGGGTGAATGGTAAGTGAATTATTTGGAGAACCATTAGAATATTGTCAGAAATGTTGATTTTCTGCTAAGCGTCTTGACGTGTTCTTGGCTTTAAATATTTTGTCACTAAACAGACAAGGTTATTCTAGGATTTTGAGAATTGTTTTTATGCTTACTGTGGCTCTTAAAGTTGGCAAGTTTATTGCAAAAGGTAATTTGCTTCAGAAAATCTTCTAAGAAGAATGTTTAAGAATGGTCGAAATCTTTTTTAACTTGACCTGAAGATACGTTCCAGTCGTCACTTTATTCGTAGAGGGGATTGGGTGGAATTGCATTCTTCATTCTGATTTGCTATTTGTGTTGAAGGGTCAAACTCAAGCTTCAGAAGCGGTGATAAAATTATTGTTGTGTAAGTGGATTGATGGGGACAGCTCAGTAAATGATTTATCAGGTTATTACCATCTAAATCTCATTAGTAGTGAAATGTCTTGTGGAAACCTGTTGAGGATTCTTTGCCATTCATATATAGCCTCGAAAGAAAAAAGTACAGTGGAAAAGTCAGGATGGTAGGTTAATCTAGAGGGGAATCCAGTATTTGGGAGCACATAGTACCGGAAATCATGGACCTCTCAGTTCGTTAGGGTCGACAGATTTGATCCTTCTCTACTCATTGTTCATACCCGTTTTTCCACAGTTTATCACAAGAAAGTTCTTGCTTGAACGCAATTCTAAGACGGATAAGATGTAGGAGGTAGCATATTATGCACTGGTTCTTACCGCGAAAGAAAACAAAGGAGAATTCAAAGTGTAGGCTCACTCCGCGGTATTATTTCCTCCATTTCTACTGTGTCACTGGATTTTTGGCCTTGTGGAGAGCTCTTTCACAAGGTGCTGTTTGCTTTAACTGTATAAATGAGGAAGTAGGTTAGCACATAACGGATCTTGTGTAGAGTTGGAACACTTCATGTTGACATAAAGAGGAATGGTGCTGATTAGAAACTTGGGTTGTATTTCCATAGGATGAGCATGTCTGCCTTTCATCATTAAATTTCGCAAGTTTCTTGTTCTGTGTATCTTTTCTGTTTATCATAATCTTTGTTAACCTCTATTTCTAATACAATGAGAGAAGAAGATTTGCTTTTTCTTCTTTTGCAGGTTTTTTGACTTTTATTTGAAAAAGTTGAATTAATGAACGCAATTTCGTGGTTCTACTATCACGCTTTTAGTTAGTCATTTTATGCATAATTTGATGGTAAAAAACTACATTGAGAATTCAGATCTTTTATTGGGCATAGCTTAAAGTTGTACGGTTTGCAGTATAAGAAATTTTGAGGGAAATTTAGTAAAACATGCAGAAAATGTTGAGAAAAGCTTCGAATTTCTATCTCATTGGATAATCAACTCTATTTCAAATGAAAAAGAAATGCAACAAAAGATTTATAATATTGCCGAGTAGTCGTAAAGTGTATTTGAAATTGGAATTCTGAAATGAAAGAAGTTTTAATTTGGGTGTGGAGTGTGACACAGAGTTTCTAATGTTGAAGAAGAAAATGCTGGATACTTTCAGAATTAATGAAAGTAACTCAAGAAAGAAAGGAAAGAGATTGCAGTGTGTTTGATCGAAAAAGCAACAGAGAATGAAGCAATGAGATTTATACTGATTACATTTTTCTCGGAAACTTTATTATTATTGATGAAACATAAATCTTGTGAATTGCACATTATCTACGCAAAATTAAGGTATTTCTAAGCTTGCTTCCCGAGGTAAATATATATAACCTTTATGCAAAATATCTAGCTTTTTATTCATCAACGTTCCGGTTACATGTCATCAGAAGTTGAAATCACTTGCCTAAAAGCAGAAACTGGAACACAGTATTAAGGAAGATACAAATTAGCGTACACTACTTAAAGCGAAGTTGAAGCCGGCAGGAGATCTCCGTTTTTTGCACACATCATGAAAGAGAGAAAATAGTGAAAATTTATTGTTTGGAAAAAAGTAATATGCAACAAAAAGGCGACAAAAAAAAATTCTAAATATGGAGAATTATTGAAATTTACGAAGAATTGAAACGGTTTCATTTCTAATTAAATTTTGGATTTGGTGCTAGTTTAATAAAAATGATTGTTATGCTTCTTAGTGTCTCTGTGGAAACTGATTGCTGATTTACAACCCTATCCGAGTACCCTATTGGTTTATCAGCACTGGAGAAATGACGAAATGATTTTTCGAGGTTTCCAAAGCTAAGGCCATTTGCATTTGAACAACATAAAACGAGTTACAAAACCCATTTTCTGCAAAATGTAAACATATTGGATATTTCTCTATAAACTACCAAGTCATTACAGCCAAAAAACGTTGGAAAGCCGTAATATATGATAGTCTGATGGTAAAATATTAGCAATGAGCCTATTCAAAGATTTACTTTTTTACAGTATCCTCCTTCCATCATTACTATAAACAAAAAGTCACCCTCTCAATCATGACCTATCATATTTCACATCTCTTCCGTTATTTAAAGACAAGTTTTCGTTTGTTATAGCGGTTTAATCATCTGTCAAATCATTTCATTAGTAAGTATTTGATGCTTTAGCTGTTGTCGAAAATTTTCTTTTTGAGTTTTTTATGCCCTCTTTGCTCTTGTTACTGTAAATGTAGGGTAAAATGTAAAATATAGTAAATGTAAATGTAGTCTCTCACATTCCCTTTTGCCACACTGTCATAGTTTTACTGCTATTTTTATTTCATTTTTTGGTTTATTCGAAAATCAAATCAGAAGTTGCTATTATAGCATACTAAACATATGACTCAGCCATACCTATAATTTATTCAGAGACAGTATGGAACCGTCAAGTGTTGAACTGTATTTCATAATTAAGTTAGGATATAGTAAATATAGTAGACTCGTCGTATTGCTGTTGATGGTCGATGCATGATGTCGTCGTCTGTTCACGGTGGGTCTGCGGGGTATATGTGCAAGTGGTTCATTCGACCTCAGCTACTGCTCGTTCACTCACTCTCATCTGTTTCAGCTGTGCTGTAATCAACTGTCCTTTCCTTCTAATAATCAATCCACTTCATTGTCATCATTTCCGACTCTTTCTAGGCGAGTGGTTTCACTTGTTCTTTTCTGAAATTACACTCTTTTTATAAATTTCAAAATTCTTAACTTTTTGAAAAAAACCATTTTGCGAAAGTTATTATGGGGTGCACTCGAAATTTTACAAACTATCTCTTAACCGCTATTCCATACAATCCGGATTTTGTTACTTGCAATATTGCTATTATTATTATTTATTATTTTTTCTGTTGCGCTTTTTTTTTTCGTTAATTTAAATTTCGTTTTTATTGGTTTTATTAATTTGTTGGTGAAAATTTGAAAAAAGGAACTCTTGTTGGTTGTAGTATTAACTACTAAGCGACATGTAAACTGATCAAGTTCGTCCAGAATATATAAGATACTGTAGGATGTTGGAAGACATATATTTCTTCGCAACGGGTGTTTTATTTATTTAGTTATTTTATTTTATTTATTTTTTTTTTTTTTTTGAAAGTAAGCTGTGACGTAAGCTGCAGATTTTAGAAACAGGTCTTTAGAAAAATTTAATTCGGAGATTTGAAGTTTGTAACAGAAGCTATTTCCAATTTATTCTTACCAGTACATCTCATGGCTCATAATTTGCTTCATGATCAGAATTCCAATCCTTCATACTTTTCCTTCTTAGTGAATTGTTCTCCTCTTTTTAACCAACTCATTAATCCCCAGCAAATTGCACATTAAATCATACTTTTGTTTATCTTTGTATGTAAATAATTAACCAGTGTCATGGGGAATGAATGAATGTTTATTATTATTCATAAGACTAATTGAAATTATATTCATCGAACATTTTATGAAGGACCGATGTTCGCTTTTCCGTATGTATTCTGGGTCATATGCATATACATAAAATAACGCAGGAAACTTCTACACACCATCAAATAACAAGTTATTTCAGCCTCAAGTTATAAGTTGAAACTATGGTATCTATATGTGGATTGTAATGCAAGTATTAAAACGGTTTTTGTTTTTAATGGGTATATTTAATAGAGGAGATGGATGTGAGCGATATCTAGCAAAAAAAAAAAAAAAAAAACAATCAAGAATATAAGAATTTCCTGAGGGTCTCCTAACGGAAACTCTTTGATAAACCGTATCTTTGTTTCAAGAGGCAAAAATACCGCCATTCTTGAAAAATTGAATCGTAATAGTGATAATTCACATAGGCTGATGGCGTTGGAAATCGATTAATGTTAGACGAAGACTGATCTTTGCACTTTTGCATGTAGAAACTAATTCCATTAAAACTTATTACAAAGTTTTCTCAACTTTTGCGTTTTCTCCACCCAGAACAAAAATTCGGGTACAACGTCAAAAATATCTCTGTGTTAGATATTATTACCCTATTGCCTTATAAATGGGGAAAAAGTAAGCTATTTGCATGTAAAAAATAAAAATATTGTACTACATTAAGTTCTCACTGAATTCAGCGAAATATTTGCATCAGGATTTCTTTCAATTTGAATTTTCAAAAGCACAATTCATTTCTTATCAGATCTTTTTAGATTTGATTTTTTTCTAGAAATATGTTTTACCTTTCTTTTCATTGTCGCGTCCTCTGACAATTGCATCCAACACATCTTTTAATGGCTTACTAAACGATATGCAATATCCCTACCAAGATTACTCATAAAGTCATTCGCAGTACTGGTTGTCGCTAGTCCAATAAAAATCATGAAGCTTATCTGTAGTTTTTTATGTGCTTAGATATATAGGTAAAAGTTTCAGAAGATTCTGCTTTTATTGAACTTTATGAAATAAGATTTTTGCATGTAATAAATGAAATTTTTGTTGTAATTTAAAAATAATTTATAAAAATTCAGTAAA